GTAGAGTTTGCATATCATGACTGCATGACTGGACATTTTTGAATGCTTAAATAACCTTTTTGTGTTTACAAAACACTATAAACTGTACTTGTGTGGAGTAAACTTGTAATTTGTGATTATGCATCATATTTATTTGCAGTTTGTATAATTTAATCTAATCATTAATTAATATAGTTAATTTGTTTAATCAACTCACTGAAAGTTGGGGCCTCTTTTATCTTCTTAGCAATAGCCTTTTCCCCCTTGTGTACTTTTGGATAAATTATTACCCAACGATCTGATTTTTTTTTGTTTTAGCTTGCTTCTTCTTGGAATTTTCATTGAAGTGCATGTTAGCACAAAACAGTCTAAAACAGGTTTGAAGCTATTAGTATTCAAAATTTGACTTTTGCTTTTCTTCTAAACATTTTCTTATTCTTTGATTGCCAACTGGCACTCCTGCAATTACCTGACTTATAATAAGGCCAAAAAAAATTGTTGGTTTCCGGTTTCCCGACCATACCTAGCTTTTGGCTGCCGAAATTCCTGACCATAAACTTTTTGTTGTTTCCACTTAAAGGACTGCCTCCTCCGCAGGCCCTTATAACATAACTTATCAGTGGCATATATAGATCTGTGCACTTTCCGCGCGCGTCTAATCAATTCAACTCCCCCCCTGAATTCAATAAACCCTAAATTCAATAAAGCGACTGGGGACGAGACAGCTTAAAGGACATTTAAAATGTTTCCACCTAAAGGACCTTTTGTGGACTAATTAACTAAAGGAATTTTTTAATAATCTGGAAGGAAATTTCTTTGGCAAGTGGAAACACATAACGAAAAACTAATTAACTAAATTGGATTTGATTTAACTTAGTTCTCAAATATGCAGGTGAACAAGAAACATGGAGTCAAATTTGGGTGAGGGTTTTTACCTGCATTGCAAATTTGAAATAGAATTCTAAAATGTGACTTGTACTTACCTGGCCATAAGTGAATGGTATGGATAGTAGACATTCTTTGAGGCGAACTGATTATCTAAAGAATGCTTTGACTCGAGGGATGAAGTCTGGTGAAGATTTGATAGTTTCCGAATGGCGGAAATTAGTCGAGGTTTTGTAAGGATTTTTTTAAAGCGCCTATGCAACGAAATTTTTACCTCATTTTTTATTTATTTTCTAAAGAGTACTGCTGGAGTGATGAAGAATGGCGTTTACAGTTTCGTCTTATCTGATTTTATTCTCAAGTTATCGCACATTCTATATTTTGAGTTGTGACGTCACAAGTATGATGAGGTAATGGCAGTATGAAGGAAGTATGATATCTTGGTGAGTATTTAATAAAATTTAATGAAACTTGGTACACTTAGTGGGTGCAACAAAGTCAACAATTTGGCTTGTTTATATGGTTGTTATGGCAACACACTCGTCCCCAGTCCCTTCTCTTCCAATTTCTATATGATCCGTTTTCAACGAAATAAATAGCAATTTCTGCAATTTTCGCTTATTACTATAATACGTGTAGGTATTGTGATCAGTTTAAACCGTTATAACATGTAAACATCCTTTGCAAGAGGTCTACGGGAGGAAAGTTGTGAAAGGAAGAGAAGAGACTGGGGACTAGTGTGTTGCCATGACAACCACATGACCTACCAAAAATATTCATATGAGTGCACCCACTAAGTGTACCAAGTTTCATTGAATTTTCTTAAATACTCACCAAGATATCATACTTTCTTGTTATTGCCATTATCTCAACTCATACTTGTGACGTCACAACTCAAAATATAGAAAGTGCGATAACTTGAGAATGAGATGAGATATGACGAAACTGTAAACGTCATTCTTCATCACTCCAGCAGTACTTTTTAGAAAAACAATAAAAAATGAGATGAAAATTTCGTTGCATAGGCACTTTAAGTTTCTTGTGTGCAGCTGACCCTGTATAAAATAAATGATATTTTAAACTTTCGAAAAAGTTTTTATATTCAAGATGTGTGGAAAACTATGTAACCTGCTTTAATCCATGCTCTATCTAATTCTCCATGGGTACATCTCTGGAAGATCTTGTTTTCTTCATGAACATGCACGTCCATGATGTGATTTAAAAGGCTTCTCCATTTTTCTTCCGTCTCTTTTTCGTTTGTGGTTGAAATTGCCACCCAGTAAACGTGGTTAACGATTGACTGAAAATAGTTAAGTGAATTTTTATTGCCAATTATTTTTGAGGTGTTTGTTAGAGAGGGAAGGTTGTCAATCTTATTACAATAAAACTCAATTGCAAAACAAATGGGAAAGGTAGATTTAAACCTGTCAAGCGTTTTCATTGAAAAGGAAAAGTGCTTATATCAAAAAGCATTTATTAGAGAGGCATTTGGGAACTATATATGTAACATTATAGCTGTCGTTTTAGATCATACTTGACAATTTATTTATGCTGATCTTATTTTGCCTACCCCAATCCACAGCTTTATTTCTTTAAATTTCTTTGTCTTTGAGGCTTTCAAAAGCTTTTTCTTCACACCTATATTACACAAATAATATAGTTATTCTTACTAAGAATGTTGTATTCTTAAATATTTACCATGGATCTTCACGATTTACGTATTATAAATACTTGACAACTAGGCTTCTTACCCTTTGCAACATGCCACACATCGTAATTGTGCTCTATACTTGACTTTTCACTTGCCATATACGCAGATACTTGCACGTGTCTGTCTGTCACAAGTTTTTTAACTTCTACGTTTGCATTCTCAAGGTACGAAAGTTGCCTCTTCAGGGACTCTAATTCCATTCCATTGGAGTTTTTAACTTCAGTACTCTGAAATTTAATTGATTTGATAAATTGCTATATCATCATTTGTGTAATTAGTAATAATATCATTGCTATGATTGCTATATCGTTATCTTTAACCGAATTAATCACGTGCATAGTGCGATAGCACAATTAAACATTGTATCTGAACCCTCCAATTACCTTTATAACTTGAGTATCTAAAATAACGTTTTGCTCTACGTCAAGTGTGCTACCAGAACCAAGAAGACCACTGTGTCCAGGGCTGTCCACACGCATGTCAGAAGCTATAATAACTGGTTTGTCTCTGATTCCATTGATCAAACTTTATTGCTCTAATCTCCACATGTTAAATATTGCTGGTATTGCATATGTACTTTGAAGGTTTGACATTTCCCTTCTTTTAATACAGAGAATGTTTAACGATTCCATGAACCTTAACGTTTTATTCGACTCCATCCCTGTGCTTAAAATTGTTGAAGTTATGAGCAAGTTCATAGCAGGAAGCCGATTCATAAGAGGGCCAGTTGACCAAGAAATATCATGGTTTTGGTTTGTTGAACACGATATATAGATCATGCAGTAACTTCCAATCCTGTTTCCTATTGAAACTGAGCAGCTGCTTCCACATTTTTGGCAAATCCCAAAGATATGTGCTATCGACTCTTCGCAAATGATAAATTTTAGCTGATTCTCAATAGACTTTTCGCGGGACAAGAGAACGCGGTCTTTACTTTGCTTTGATATTTCTTCAGTGCTTGCCTCCTGGTCAGATTGACTTTCTTCACTTGCCAAATGATCGAATTCCGTACAATAACTCCCGTCACAACTTTCATTACAATCGGATTCGCACAGTTCTTCTGGTGGTGGTCCGGAGATTTCAACGTTTGCGTCTGCTTTGCAAGATTCACGTGTTTTTGAAGAATCAACATATTGTTTAACAACATTTTCACTTGTTCCGCATTCATTTGTTTTGGATGAGTCAACAATGTGCTCTTCAATAATATTCTCAGATGAGTCAGTTTGAGAACCAGTAGAATTCGTTTCGGGAAATACGAGTAATTTAGACAATAAATTCACGGTAAGGAGTGTCTGTGTACCTTTTGTTGCTGTCGTTGACAACATAGACTTCTTTGTTTGAGTGGTCTTATTCTTACCAAAATATTCGAGTGCAATGGTTTGGCAACTTGTACTCTTGAAGTTGCTACAATCAGCATTTACAATCTCTGATTCCTGCGGATGTTCAGTAGCGATCGTGTTGTCTTCGTTCACGATTTCGTTATTAGGTGGTAATTTGGATTTTGAAATCAACTCTTGAACATCCTTGATAAGACGAAAGGATAATGTTATTTGTAAGTGATTGACTGGTCGCAACTTATTATTTATCAAGTAGTTCGAGTTTTAAATGCGAAATTTTTTGGAAGAAAATTTTGTGCAGGTGGGGGCATATTAAATCGGGAGAGGTGGTAAATATCTTTCACGCCCCCTCCATAGGTTAATGCTTATCATAACCCATCATAATATATATCACCATAACATAGCATTTAATACATGTATCATATCCCATCACTATAAAGACCTGAAAAGCCAACTGAAAAATGACTAAATAGAACAAATTCTTGGGTTTCATATGACGTCATAGATTTCAGTGGGGGTCAACACTAAATCGAGACACAGTGATCGGAACGAATTAAATGTTCACTGTATGTGTTGGCCTTGTGTTTGCTAACAAATACGTGCAATTTCGTATCATTTTCTCACTCCAGTACAGCATAAGCATCAATACAGTTGAGGTTGACCCCCACTCAGATTCACTGCATAATGGCGTAGTAAAACCCAAGAATAAGTCTCTTTCGTCGCTTCAAATTTTATATCCCCCCCTGCGCCAACCGTGGTAATGCCTCGTGAGTGTTGCCCCCTCCCCCCATTTTACCAATGTCCTTACGCTTGCCATGCTTATGGTGTCACAGACCTTGAAGCACGGCTGAAATCAGCTAAACTGAGATTACTTCTATTTCTAAGGGAAATTATTAATTTTGTAAGTCCGAGACTTCAAATATCGTGGTATATAAAGTTTCTAATTAACAAAATTTTATATGAAAACATATGATCAGCATGATAATTGATAAAAGATGATTGAAAATAGTAATTACTTTCCGCCTTGCTAGAACTCCTGTATGTCTCCTCTTCGCCTGTCTACAATCACCATGAGTATCATTAACCATATCGAGTGGTTTATTTTTCGTGGGTACTGCGTCAGGTTTTAGAAATAATTTTCGCCTTTCTTGAAAGTTTAATGCAGACAAAAACTGAGAAGAATGCGAAGTAACGTAAGCATCTTCGCTAAAATGCAACGAACACAAACCCGAATATTTAGATGGAACAAAGCACTTTCGCTTGCAAAAGTCGACCCATATCTTGTTTCTTTTTTCCTCTGTTTTATTAGTTATCTTAGGAAACGAAAAAAAGTGTATTTTCTTCTCGGGATTTCTTTTACTACTGCTGTTGCAACCATAAACTGGACAATACATGGCGAAACAAAACCAAAACAGTAGAATTTGTATTTCCCGCCAAAAACAAAGCCCTGTTGTGACATCACGTTGCATAAATTAGCATAATAAAAATCATAACAAGATGGCGGCGAAGACGCTATGATTTTGTTTCAACAATTACCATTTTCCAAGAAATAAAAGACAGAAATGGGGAATTTTTGTTATTTTCTTTCATATGTGGAGGTAATCTATTAAATTAGTTAAAGAAAAAATATGTTGCCATTTCCCTTTAACAGTAGGTCAAAATCAGGTTAAACTATGAAGCTAACTTGCTTGAACTTCATTTGTTTTGTTCAAGTGTTAACATTATTTACACTAAACTTAATTTATTTTGTTGAAGTGTAAATTAATGCTATGCCTTGTTGGGATTCACATTACATTTTTGTTTTGTTTGCATGTTATTATGAAGTACTTGCTGAACTTTATCAACTTGCTTATCATAGTAGGTCAAAATTGGTTGAAGTCTGGAGCTAACTTGGTAGTTAACTTGGACTTCAATACTTCATTGTTAGGTGTTAACAGTAGGTCAAAATCAGGTTAAAGTATGAAGCTAACTTGCTTGAACTTCATTTGTTTTGTTCAAGTGTTAACATTATTTACACTAAACTTAATTTATTTTGTTGAAGTGTAAATTAATGCTATGCCTTGTTGGGATTCACATTACATTTTTGTTTTGTTTGCATGTTATTATGAAGTAGTTGCTGAACTTTATTAACTTGCTTATTATAGTAGGTCAAAATTGGTTGAAGTCTGGAGCTAACTTGGTAGTTAACTTGGACTTCAATACTTCATTGTTAGGTGTTAACAGTAGGTCAAAATCAGGTTAAAGTATGAAGCTAACTTGCTTGAACTTCATTTGTTTTGTTCAAGTGTTAACATTATTTACACTAAACTTAATTTCTTTTGTAATTGAAGTGTAAATTAATGCTATGCCTTGTTGGAATTCACATTACATTTTTGTTTTGTTTGCATGTTATTATGAAGTGGTTGCTCAACTTTAATATTTATATTATGTCCTTATAGCTTTATGTCTTGTTGCTTTGTTATTGATCCTTGCAGTGTTGCTACAGGAGGAAACCTAAACTAAACTAACTTTATTTATACTGGATAGCTCTACCAGTTGTAAACTGTTCTTCCTAGAGGTCCAGTAAGGATCATCTCTTATTGACCCAGTATTACTTGGGGAGGGATGAATAGGGGTATACAAATCCACCGATCAGTCCAAATTTGAAGCAAAATCTTACTTATCATAGTAGGTTGAAATTGGTTGAAGTCTGGAGCTAACTTGGTAGTTAACTTGGACTTCAATACTTCATTGTTAGGTGTTAACAGTAGGTCAAAATCAGGTTAAACTATGAAGCTAACTTGCTTGAACTTCATTTGTTTTGTTCAAGCTAGTGTTAACATTATTTACACTAAACTTGATTTCTTTTGTATTTGAAGTGTAAATTAATGCTATGCCTTGTTGGAATTCACATTACATTTTTGTTTTGTTTGCATGTTATTATGAACGTTATGAAGTAGTTGCTGAACTTTAATATTTATATTATATCCTTATAGCTTTATGTCTTGTTGCTTTGTTAACTTTACATATGCCTTGTTGGGATATGACTTAAAAGTCTTTGCCAATTTTGATGTTTTTGTGTAATATTGTGAAGATTTTGAATATTGAAAGAAACTTTATAACTGTCATATGACCCATGGGCGGATTTATTGTGGGGGAGGGGGGGGGGGTTAAACACCCTCTAGAATTTCTCTAACCCCTCTTATAATGTGTTCAGCCCCACCAACACTTTGCTTCAACCCTCCTATTTTGTGTGAAAGTCTTTAACCCTATCGCCTATTTTGGGAGGTAGAAACATTGTAATAGCTTAATTGCGGCTTAATGAGTTAAATATCAAACTATTAAAAATTATATTTATAGCAAAACATTTAGACTTTGGTGATGCCAAATCTTATCGTTGATGCTAATGTCTGCACCAAACGGTATCCAGTCAAAACATCCCCATAACTGAGTTATAAACAACACTCGACATGTTCTGATGTTCACTGAACGACATACGGTACACTAGTGTCTCGTATATTTCTTTATACCTTATTCTGCGACTCTGCTTCACAAACATTTAAAACACGTACATAAAGTTTATATATTTCTTACCTTATTTACTCTGCTTCATACTGTGGCTCGGCCACAAAGTTTATAGTTATATATTTCGTCCCTTTATATTCACTCTGCAACTCTGCTTCAGAAACATTTAAAACATATACTGTGGTAATCGACGAAATCGTACTGTTATGTTGCAAAATAGAACGTGGAAATACAAGGTTGTTATGTACACTTTCAACAGTATACACATATAAAATTTCGCATATATGAAAACATATATTCACTCCATCGAAGGCGGCCATTTTGAATTTATTGAATATAATATATATCCATCCAGTTGAGGGTTTTTATGGTTTTGCAAAATATATAGATCAAAACGGCACACGTGATGCTGATCGCTGTCGCTGATTGGCTCCGGGCTAACACACGGTCTGCACGATGGCAATGTATCTGCGCTAGCGCAGATACAAAAACTCTATTATGACACAGACTTAATTATAAATTTCAAAGTTTTCGAGATCTTAGTTTTCTAGATGCCTCACAGGCGGCCCAATCTCGCAAGGGTCAGTATAGACTTTATACAGTATAAATTTATATTATATTAATTGTATATTATAGTAAAAATATGTCATAAAATATAAATTTTAAAATGAAATTGACTTGCCTATTTGATAGTGTGTGTTCTCCTTGTATTCCTCCTTTGTTGGACTAATATTTTCCGAGACCTTGTACTCGATGTTACTAGTATACATGAAACATGATAAAGGCTAACGATTCCCGATCGTCGATACGACGGCACGGCACTTCGAATCGAAAATTCTCACACTCAAATCGCTTTATTCTCAAAAAAAATTCGCCAGCATGTACAACAAATGCCGTTCTTCGAAAATACAGAGGTATTTCGGCGAGATGTACAAGTTTTGGACCATATTTTAACAATGGAAATCAAAACCCATTTTATATTGAACTTACCCGGACCGAAAATTACTACGGCGAACGTCTGCGCAACCAGGCCTCCTTTACCGTTGGATTTACAGGGGGGAAGCAGATATTTCCGGTAACAGCCAGCCAATCGCGGCCGCGTAGCGACTGTTTACATTATTTGAAATTTGATATTCAAAATAAAAACTCCTTCGATCGGATACAGTATAAAACTCGAGATGTTGTCAAAGAAAAGAAAATTAAACGACGGAGATTGAAGAAATTTAAGGAAGAAGTAATATACAGCGGCTCTTTGTTGGAAAGTATGGTAGAATATGATACTTTAATTCGAAATATTATCGTGAATATATTAGTGGCATCCTCCCCCCTGTAAATCCAACGGTAAAGGAGGCCTGGTTGCGCAGACGTTCGCCGTAGTAATTTTCGGTCCGGGTAAGTTCAATATAAAATGGGTTTTGATTTCCATTGTTAAAATATGGTCCAAAACTTGTACATCTCGCCGAAATACCTCTGTATTTTCGAAGAACGGCATTTGTTGTACATGCTGGCGAATTTGTTTTGAGAATAAAGCGATTTGAGTGTGAGAATTTTCGATTCGAAGTGCCGTGCGGTCGTATCGACGATCGGGAATCGTTAGCCTTTATCATGTTTCATGTATAATAGTAACATCGAGTACAAAGTCTCGGAAAATATTAGTCCAACAAAGGAGGAATAAAGGAGAACACACACTATCAAATAGGCAAGTCAATTTCATTTTAAAATTTATATTTTATGACATATTTTTACTATAATATACAATTAATATAATATAAATTTATACTGTATAAAGTCTATACTGACCCTTGCGAGATTGGGCCGCCTGTGGATGCCCACATCAATACTGTTAATCTGTACTTACTTAATAATTTTCTTATTGCTAACATTAGATCCCTAAATGGAGGGTCCGATGAGTCATGCATTGTCACAAACACTAATATTGTAAACATTGTTTGTATAACAGAGACAATTGTTTAACCCTTCTATACATGACTCTGCTGTATTCCTACCTAACTTTATTCTGTATAGAAATGACCATCTGTCCTCCAGTTGAGGCAGTGTCTGCATATTTGTCAAGTCCAATATTGAGTTTCAAATATATTTATTGAGAACATTAAATATATAATTAATATACACAGTCAAATGCTTTCACAACATGAAGGTAGATAACGTCAAAGTCAACTCTTGATAAAGGGCCTTTGCTCGAAATGTCGAGTTTCTGCTTGTTTTTTTTTAGGTAGTAATATAACCACTTAGCACAGCAATTTCACATTGGTACTACCATAGATATCTTATATACACTAGATAGTGCATCTAATTATTCTGAAGTTCAAAAATTGAAGCCGTGATTGCAGTCTCAGGTCGTTCCCATGAAATTAGAAGATTCGTATGTTTTCTATTTCTTAAACAGGGAACTTAAAGGCAGAATGCAGCACCCCACGTGACCGAGAATACCGCTGTTGATTGATTGATATGACAAGCGGCTCAGGTTACACGCAACTTAATATTCTATTACTATGGCGGCAAACGAAGAGTTTGGCTCTTTAAATTTACAAAACGAAAGAAGCTATATCGCCATGAGTTCATC